CTGCAAGACAAATGACCTGGTTTCTTCAACAATGTGCAGAGAAAAAGAGAAGAAACATACAAATTAAGAGGCTTGAAAGAAAATCAGTCAATTACAGTGTGTAGGGCCTGGGTTCTGCTTAAAAACAAAAAAACAAACAAAAACTAGGAAAGTCAACAGAAACATTGAATCTAAGAAAGAAAAACAGAGCAAAAAACTCCATGTGCAATGATCTGTTCTGATTTCACTCCATTGGTAAATGGATGTACATTAAAGATAATTTCAGACAATTTATATTTAACAATTATGAAGTGCTTGCTATTGTCAGGCATTGTTTTAAGAACTCTACAGATATTTTATTTGTTAACCTCAATAACCCTATGAGAAGGTACCACTTTCCCCATTTAACAGAGGAAGAAACAGGCACAGAAACCTTACCTAAAACTCTCCCCAAGTCATAAAGCTATCAAGTGACAATGCTGAGATTCAAACTCAGGCTATAAAGTTGGTACCCTTAATTACTATATCATACTATCTGTCTACATGATGTAGTGGAAACAGCTCTTTGGAATCAGATAAAACTCCCTGAATTACCCATCTCTCCTTATGTCATATCAATTATTTATTTAACTTCTCAGAACCTCTGTACACTCACTTGTAGAAGAGAAGGGCACCATACATAGTTAAGGAATAGAGAGATTATATATTGGACTATATTATAGGCTTTAGCTTATGAAACCCACAATAATGGTTCTCACTACCCTTCCCATCATACCTGCAGAGACTAATTAAAAAGTCGAGCTAATAATTCATAAACACATAGCAGAAACACTGGAATAGCTCTACCTTTTAATTAACTAGCTAAAGAGCACCCAAACCAACTTTTCAAGATACTTATAAATATAAACTTTAAGAATAGCAATAATTCAAAAAGGAATATTTTACATAATAAAATTTAAACTTATAATGAGCAGAAATAAGAGTTTGCAATCTAAACTTAAAGTATAGCCAAACTTAAATTAATTAAAAAAATTTTTGAAAACAAAACTTATTCCACATAAATAGACCTACTGCTCAGAAATGTGCACTAAAATTTTGTTTATGCTGGTGATTCTTTAGCCTGATGTCTGGTTAATATAAGGCAAAATAGTTTTATCATAGAAAAGGAAGGTAGCCCTAGCTGGTTTGGCTCAGCGGATAGAGTAATGGCCTGCGGACTGAAGAGTCCTGGGTTTGATTCCAGTTAAGGGCACATGCCCAGGTTGCTGGCTCGATCCCCAGTAGGCTGCATGCAGGAGGCAGCCGATCAATGATTCTCTCTCATCATTGATGTTTCTATCTCTCTCTCCCTTTCCCTTCCTCTCTGAAATAAAAAAAAAAAGGTATTTAAAAAAGAAAGAAAAGGAAGGTAAATTTAATTAATATGTTAAAAAATCAACTTGAGCCCTGACCGGTTTGGCTCAGTAGATAGAGCATTGGCCTGCGGACTCAAAGGTCCTAGGTTCGATTCCGGTCAAGGGCATATACCCAGTAGGGGGTGTGCAGGAGGCAGCTGATCAATGTTTCCCTCTCATCGATGTTTCTAACTCTCTATCCCTCTCCCTTCCTCTCTGTGAAAAAATCAATAAAGTATAAAAAAAAATCAACTTGAAAGACAGCTATGTTGTTAAACTATGAATATTTTTGTGTTTATTTGTTATACCACCAAGTTCTTTGGTGGCAGGAAATGTTTTAAGGTCATCTAGGTATTCCTAGCACCCAGCATGCTGATACTGGCACCATACATAGTTCACCCTCTTGCAGTACTACTTTTTTTTTTCTTTTTTAATTTATTGGGATTACATTTGTTAATTACATAGGTTTAAGGTGTACAATTCTCTAATACATCATCTGCATATTGCACTGTGTTCACCACCCCAAGTCATGTGCTTCTGCATTTTTTAAAAAGGAGAATAATTGATCTGTTCTGTCTAAAAAATGAAAAATAGCCCTGTCTGGTTAGCTCAGTTGGTTAGAGCATCATTCCGATACACCAAGGTTGTGGGTTCAATCCCAAGTCAGGGCACTTACAAGCATCAACCAATGAATGCACAATTACTAAAGTGAAACAACAAATGGATGTTCCTCTCTTTCTCTCTCTCTCTCTCTCTCTCTCTCTCAAAAAAAAAAAAAAAAAAAAAGATAAAAGAAAAGAAAAAAGCCCTAGATGTTTTGGCTCAGTGCATAGAGCATCAGTCTTCAGACTGAAGGGTCCCGGGTTTGATTCCGGTCAAGGGCACATGCCAGAGTTGTGGGTTCGAT